GCACAATCATGGCTCTTTGCAGCCTTGACCTCCTGGGCTCAGGCAATCCATCCACCTCAGCCTCCCAAGTAGTTGGGACTACCGATGTGTGCCACTATGCCTGGCTAATATTTAATTTTTTTTTTTTTTTGTGGAAATGAGGGATCACTGTGTTGCTCAGGCTGGTCTCTCACCTCAGCCTCCTAAAGTGTTGGGATTAGCAGGTATGAGCCACTGTACCCGGCCAGGCAGTCTCTTTTAAGGATTCGTTTAAGATTCTCTTTGGCTCTTACAGACTTCATCAGTATTGAAATGTTGTTTGTATAAACTGGATTTCTTTCTGGAAACAAATGTGTATTCATAGCTCTCCGTGTATTCTTCTGTTTATCTAGATTAACTCTGAAGATGTGTAAGAAACTGGCAACATGAATTACTCTAAGGGAGCAAAGGGGTTTAGAAGGATATGCCTGATTCTGTTTCTCTCTTTTTTTTTTTTTATTATTTTTTGAGTCGAGGTCTCACTCTGTTGCCCAGGCTGGAGTGCAATGGCACCATCATGGCTCACTGCAGCCCCCACTTCCTGGGCTCAGGCGATCCCTCTACCTCAGCCTCCTGAGTAGCTAGAATCACAGGCATGTGCCACCCTGCCCAGCTACTCTACATTTTTTGTAGACACAAGCTCTCGTTATGTTGCCCGGGCTGATCTCGAATTCCCAGGCTCAGGCAGTCCTCCTACCTGGGCCTCCAAGGAACTGGGATTTCAGGCATGAGCCCATGCCTACCTGTTTCTCCTTTTTTGTATTTGCACCTGCTCCCTGCGTTTGTAGTGCTTAGGCCATCTAAACGTTACAGGAAAGAAGACGAAGTCTGGTTTCAGCACCCGACATGAAAGACTCTGTTCTCTTCACAGTGGTATTTCAGGAAGATGGGGAAGGGCTGCAAGGTCGTGGTGTGTGGACTGCTGTCCGTGGGGAAGACGGCCATTCTGGAGCAGCTGCTGTATGGGAACCACACTGTTGGTAAGGGCGTTTTCTCCAGGCTCTCTCTGGGTTCTGGGAGCCCCCGGGGTGTCCTGGGTCACACTGAGAGGGCTAATGGTGCACTGAGGGACCGTGAGCGCCGTGACAGCCACGGAGACCAGGAGCAGAAGCGGGGAGGGGAGAACAGGCTTGGCGTTCTTTGTG